CAGACCAAGAATGAATCATTATCTTTTTACGATAATTATCCAAGCATTTACTTGATATTGAGATAGTCACGCCTAGGAAGGCAAATTGTTCAATATTGGAATTGTTTTTCTATTATCTCTGCTATTTAGTAAGACATTGATGCTATATAATGACCTACATTTCATATTACGAATAACAAAACCGCAAAATGCTATTTATTAAATTAAATGTAAAACCACCAAAAATAAATTATTTCTTCGGCACCTTTCTGGAATTAGGTCATGCAGAAAAAAGCAAGGTTGATATGCATTTCAACGATTTACCATAAATGCTACAATTTATAGCTAAGACTAGAAATATTAAAATCGAATTATCGTTATTATAGAAAAAGCCACCATCGCTGTTCCAAGGCCGAATTTGTTGTCGAGACTTTTTTGCAAATTATTAATTCTTTGTTGCAATGCTCGGATAAACTAATTATATTTTTATTGAAGCACAACTTTGTCCATTTAGTAGAATAGCTCATTTTATTGTTTTATATCGCTACTTGGCTTTGGATTTGTAGTTAATTAACCTATAACGAGTTTGTTTTAATGATTTGTGATAAAAGACAAATCACGTGTGGTTACAATTTTAATTGATTAACAAATTATGTTTAAATTATCTTCAATAATCAATATCAGTTTGAAAGAGTTACTACCTTTGAGCTATTGAAGGTAAATGTAGCTGGAAGCTTATATGGCGCACTTCTCTCGTAGACATGGGAATTTAAAACGGAAAATAACTTTGGCCACGATTGTATAATATATATCCTAAATTCTCTGTTTAGAGTTAGGAAGTATTTTTTGTACAGGACATCCACACGAAGGCAGTGCCAATAACATAAAGAAAAAAACTGCTGTCGCATTCGAGTCTATAAGAAGCAATAAAGGATGTTTTAGAGGAATTACAAATAAATAAAAAAATTACAAATGCAACACCAATGATGTGTTCCCCGTGTCGGGCTTACATAAAGCAACAAAAAGCTCACCGAAAAGAAAGATCTGTCGGTTCCTAAAAAACTGCAGCTTTTGATAAGCTTGTGTTTATATTTACAAATAAATTAGTAATGTTCGAATGCATAAACGATTCAAACGGCATGGTGATTAAACTGTGGACTGAAAGAATGTTACAAAAACGAGAAACCTCCTAACGAGATCTACCAAAATATCAACAAAAACAAGTCATAGTTCACGGGCAAAGTGTTCGTCGCGTTGGGCCCACATGTAGCAACAAAATGCTCTCTAGAAAAAAGCTCTACTATAAGTACAATAATATAATATAATAATATATAAGTCGAGCAATGTGAAGTATACACCACTGTTATGTCCTTAAAAAATCGGAAAAGTCCTGGGTTCGATGGTATTAAAAGCGAGCATTTCTAAATTATAGCCGAGGACATAACAGAACCACTCACTTACCTAATCAACAAATGCTTTGAATCTGGCATATATCCCTCAATTTTAAAAAAAGGTAATATAATACCGATACATAAATCGGGAACAAAAACAGATGTTAACAACTATAGACCAATATCAATAATATCCAGTGTAGCAAAGGTTTTTGAAAAAGTTTTATCTACTAGAATGATTCGATACCTCACAAAATTCAAAATTTTAAGTGAAAATTAATATGGATTTACAGAAGGGAAGGCTACATCGGACGCAATAACTAAAATTGTAAATCAAATACATCAAAATATTGATAACAGAATCCCTTCAATCTGCATTTTTGTTGATTTAAAGAAAGCTTTCGACACAGTTAATCACAAATTATTATTAGAAGCATTGGAGAGAATTGGTTTCAGAGGAAACGCGTACTCACTGATCGAAAGTTATTTGTCAAATCGCCCACAATCTGTGCAGATATCAGGATCATTTAGTAAAGAAATGTATATTAAGTGTGGTGTCCCACAAGGCACTGTCTTTGGTCCGCTGTTATTCAATATATATTTAAATGATATTTTCCAAATTAATTGTGTTGGCAAAATAACTAGTTTTGCAGATGATACTGTAATATTGTATGAAGGCACTGACTGGTCTGATCTGAAAAATGTAATTGAAAATGAAATTGAAAATGATTTTATCCCACTGAAAAATTATACGCAGATGTTCGAATGTATGATATAAGACAGCTTTATTTCTTACACAGTATCACTCACTACCATAAATTTGTAAACACCGACCAAAAAATTAAACATAATCATTATACCAGGTACAAAATTCGTGGCACAGTAGTTCCTCAACCGCATAAATCTATAATGCAGCGATCATATCTCTATTTAGCGCCTAAATTTTATGAAATTATACTTAAAGACTTAAAAGATTTACGTTTCGGAAATTGTTTCAAAAGAAATTTAAAAAAGTGGCTACATTCTATATCTAGGACTGAAATTCATAAACTCATAAATACGAACATCAACTAAATACATAATCTACTGTAGCTATTTTTTGTCCTTTTTTGTCATTTGCACTCTACAGTTTCAACTTAAATTTATTGGTCCATGTACAGGCGATGCCTTCTATTGGGCCTGTTTTGATTTTATATTTATTTACTCATATTGTTTGTTATCTTTGTACATTGAGTGAATAAATATTATTATTATTATTATATTATTATAATACTAATAGTACAGTTCAGACAGTTGCACTCATTTTTCTAGAAGAATGAAGAATCTTTTGGATCAAATAAAATGTAATGTCAAGTCAAAACCACTGAGCATCATATCTTTTGAATGAAAACTGGGTTTCAAGTACTTGTAAAAATCAGGACCGCGCACGAGACACCAACCGAAACATCAGCTTAAGGTTCATGGAGAAAATCGCGACAAAAAAACTTTTTTTTGCGCAAAGCGTGCCGAGTGTCAGGCAGGCATCGAGCTCACAAAAAGCTCGCTGAAAAAAGCGGTCCCTAAAGGACGGTAGCTTTTGGTAACATTGTGTGTTAGGGTCATTACTGGAGAATACAAATAAAGTAATGCAACACCCCTTCAAGTGGTTTAGCATTAATTTAAACTGTGGTCTAAAAGAATGTTATGAAAACGAGAAACCTGCTAACGAGACCCACCAAAATATCAACCAAGAAAGACAAGAACATCATAGTTTACGATGAAAGTGTTCCTCGTCTTGGGCCCACATGAAGCAACAAAAAGCTCTCTGAAAAAACGGTCTCCCTAAAAGGACAAGAAGACAGGCAATGAAGATTCTTATGGATAGACTAGAATAGAATGTAAAGTCAAATAACGTTTATATCATTTGAAGAGAATATGTGTTTGAAGAAGTTGTAAACAACAGGAAGCATTTGCATCAGCAAAAACTGGTGGAAAAAATCCCTACAAAAAATCTTTTTTTTACGCGAAAAGCGTGCCGCGCGTCAGGCAGGCATCGAGCTCACAAAAAGCTCACTGAAAAAAGCGGTCCCTAAAGGACGGTAGATTTTGATAACATTGTGTGTTAGGGTAATTACTGGAGAATACAAATAAAGTAATGTAAAAATGCATCACCGCTTCAAGTGGTTTAGCATTAATTTAAACTGTGGTCTAAAAGAATGTTATAAAAACGAGAAACCTGCTAACGAGACCCACCAAAATATCAACCAAGAAAGAAAAGAACATCATAGTTTACGATGAAAGTGTTCCTCGTCTTGGGCCCCCCTGAAGCAACAAAAAGCTCTCTGAAAAAACGGTCTCCCTAAAAGGACAAGAAAACAGGCAATGAAGATTCTTATGGATAGAATAGAAAATAGAATGTAAAGTCAAATAACGTTTATATCATTTGAAGAGAATATGTGTTTCAAGAAGTTGTAAACAGCAGGAAGCATTTGCATCCACCAAAACATCAGCAAAAACTCGTGGAAAAAATCGCTACAAAAAATCTTTTTTTTACGCGCAAAGCGTGCCGAGTGTCAGGCAGGCATCGAGCTCACAAAAAGCTCGCTGAAAAATGCGGTCCCTAAAGGACGGTAGCTTTTGGTAACATTGTGTGTTAGGGTCATTACTGGAGAATACAAATAAAGTAATGTAAAAATGCATCACCCCCTCAAGTGGTTTAGCATTAATTTAAACTGTGGTCTAAAAGAATGTTATAAAAACGAGAAACCTGCTAACAAGACCCACCAAAATATCAACCAAAAGAGACAAGAACATCACAGTTTACGATGAAAGTGTTCCTCGTCTTGGGCCCCCCTGAAGCAACAAAAAGCTCTCCGAAAAAAGGTCTCCCTAAGGCCCGTATCGTCAGTCGTACAATTGTAGGGCGCGTTTATGGCCTCCTTGATTGTCATACTCCTTTCTCTCCTTCAAAAATTTCTAGATTACACTTGTCCCGTGTCAGCGTCAGCGCTCTCCAATTGTGAAGATATGTTTTCTTTTTAAATTGTAGGAAATTTCAGGCTATTAAAACATGATATAACTCAAAAGCAAGCACAATTTGGTGCAAATAGATGTTTGTGACATAATCTCAAAATAGAGAAGTAGAAAACTATGACAATCAAGAAGGCCATAAAGGCGCCCTACAATTGTAGGGACGACTGACGATACGGGCCTAAAAGGACAAGAAGACAGGCAATGAAGATTCTTATGGATAGAATAGAATAGAATGTAAAGTCAAATAACGTTTATATCATTTGAAGAGAATATGTGTTTCAAGAAGTTGTAAACAGCAGGAAGCATTTGCACCCACCAAAACATCAGCAAAAACTCGTGGAAAAAATCGCTACAAAAAATCTTTTTTTTACGCGCAAAGCGTGCCGCGCGTCAGGCAGGCATCGAGCACACAAGAAGCAACAAAAAGCTCGCTGAAAAAAAGCTGTGCCGATCCCCGAAAGGACAGTCGCCGACTCTATAGCGCAAAACGCGGCAGGCCGTGGAACAGCGAACGCTGGCTCTCGCTCAGTCGGCCGGCTCTTTCTCCCCCCACCACCGCCCGTTCGTCTAAGTTGAATAGGCAGACGACGTTCACTTGTTATATTGTGTTACGTAATAGTTGCCCCCTCCTAAAAATTATACCCCCACCATTCGTTTGCCGGCAACACGGCGGATGATGCTGCCACTGGCGGCTGGCCTGCCTGAGACCGATGCCGGTGTTTTTATATGCTATGTTGTTAGTGTACTTTTTACTAGCATACCGAGCACAGCTTTTTTACACACCGACGTCTTTTTTACATCGCCGCCGCCGCGCGTCTGTGCCGCATCTTTTGTTTTTTCGCCGCCGCTTAGTGCCAGTGCATAATCTGCATGTGCTGTTTCTGAAACGACTTCAAGCTGGAGTCCAGATTGGAGTACCGTCCAGGAGGGTTGGACTTCCACAATCCTCCAATGCTCCTGGAGAATCAAACGAATTACAGCAGCCACTTGCAGAGGTCCATCGACACGTTACGTTCCTTAGGCGACCGGTTAGGTGACCGCAATGTGGACCTTAGGCTCAACTTGCATCAAGAACGGCCACCTTATGACCGAACCGGTCAAATTAGCAACGGCTTGGAGCTCAACCTCAGCCTTAACTCTGACAGGCTTATCCAGGAACGGATGCAACAAGAACGAAGCCTGGAACGCCTCCTCAACGAGCGTTCGATGCAAGAACAGCGTATGAACCTGGACCACAGCCTGAGCTTAGAACGTCTCAACCTAGAACGGAGCCTAACCCAAAACCTAGATAGAAACTTAAACCAAGAGGGACCAAGACCGTACAACAGCTTGAACGACAGGGCGCTTATGGACCGAAACCTGAACTCGATAGATCGAAATTTGAACAATATCGGCGGGTACGGTACGGAACGTTTGACGGACAGGTTAAGTGATGTGAAAAGGGACGATATAAAGTACTGGGACTACAAGACGACGACGCACCATCACGCGGAGAATCTGAGGTCGGAAAGTTCAAGGTCGCAAGAGGAGGATAGGGGAGCGACGCCGTCGACGCCCCCCACCCCCATCTCGGTAGGGGAGAACAGGGGGGAAAATTTCCACGAAGAAAAGGTGAGTGTGGCACGAAGGAATGTTGTGACTCTCGCTTTTCTTGGCGGATAAGTGGAGGGGAGATTAAGTACGGAGAAGTTTATGGTTTGGGGGAGAGGTTTTGATAATTGACAGAACGTCTTATTTACTGAAAATAAGAGACTAATTATCATCGATACAAGTCATATTATATTGAACAGTAAAGTATTTTTCACAATCTTGCAAGTTCTTAGGCCGTACGCTAAATTAAAAATCATCAAGCGCTAAACTTTAGATTGTACGACTGGTGCTTCCTATTTTCAACCCGATAGATTACAACTACAACAGCTGAAATAAGCTTTTCGAAATTAAAAGTTATTAAAACTTTTTATGACTTCTATGAGGCAAGTTTGACTCTCAAGCATGGAAGCTGAAAATTTCGAAACACTAAAATCAATTCTGCTATGTAAGGATTAATAAAAAAATTAAGAAAATACCAGCAAGCAAATTGACCCGGTACTTCCCAAGCATTCACCTATGCCTATTTTCAAATTAATTTTCCATGAGTCAAGATAAGCATGTTGCTAAATGAACATAATGTTTGTGAATATGCCTTAAACTGAAGCAATCAGAGTCTATGAAAGCTAATTTTCGAAATTTTTAAAAATTGTAACCGCTCCACAGAGATGTTTGATTACCCTTAAAAATATTCAGAAAGTTGTAGAGCATACAAAAGTAAACTTTGGAGTTATCTGAAAGCTATTTTAACTTCTGCTCGTAACATCCGTGATAAAACAGCCTAGAGCAAATTGTGAGGAGAAGACAATGTATGTTTAAGATAAGACTCAAATAAAACGCTAGGTATATTTAAATTAAAGTAATAATTTCAGGGGGTGTTAGAAAATAATTGATTTTCAAAATGGGCAGTAGACAAAATAAGTTTGAGAACCTCTGATATAGGTAATGCCAGAATAGGCAATTTTATATTTTCAAAATAATATAGGAACGATGAGTCTAAAGTGGGCTTTATGTTTTTTTATTTACTCTATATTTTTTACGAAATTGAATTAAAAAAAACTCTGAAATTGTACAGTATGTTCAAGTATCGTGATTTTTCAAAACTCCATTATTTTACGTTTTGGAGAAGTTTTGGATTTTTGTAATATGCGATTATTTTGAAATTATTTTAACATTATTTCCTGGAATATACAAGTCAAAATACTACTAATACTATTGCATTATCTTTATCTTGTAAACTCATATCTCTTGTTTCTCGCGTCTAGCAAAATATGTATGTTATACAGGATGTTTCAGTTTATTGTTGCATAACTTTAAGATTCGATAGAACTTTTAAAATTAATGCATAAAGTCATATAAACATGGGTCGAAAAATGCGTGGCTTCCGAAATACCGTTTTTTACTTTTTAAAATAGTTTTTTTTAAATATTTCGAACAATATTTGATGTACAACAGTGAAAATTGGTATACAAGGGTTTTTTGGTACGACAAAACGAACCAGGGGCATAGTTTTACTGTAGCCACTAGAGGGCGCTCTCTACTGTACCTGTAGTGTATTAAAATGACCGACCATTTTTTCTTAGTGCAATTTTTTGCTTTTTAAATAAAAAAACTGATTCTTCGCACTTTTCTGCATAAAAAAGCTCTCCTGTGAGTTTTCGTTATAGTTTTTGAGATATTTCGATTTTTAAGGTTCGATGCATTTTTAATTATTTATGGGAAAATAATATTTTTTTTACATTTTCGATTTGGGCATTACAAGTAATTAAGATGATCGTTTAGATTGTGTTTTTAAACACAGCAATAATTCCTAACTCCAAATAAACACAAAAAACAAAATATTAATTTGTTTAATTTTCCAATATTATTTTTAACAAATTAAATTAATTATTTACAACTAAAATGCTATTGGATAGTTAGGACATACATACAAAATCTAAAGTAGTTGCTCGAAATGTAAACCCAATTGTTCAATACACAATTCACATCTACGAATGATCGAACGTGGTATAGCATTATTCAGATAAGGCCTTATTTCATCACATGCGTTCCTGATTCTGTCTATTAGCATATCTCTTGTGGTTACGGGAGTCTGGTACACTTTTTCTTTTAGAAATCCCCACACAAAGAAATCTGATGGATTTAGGTCAGGGGATCGTGGAGGCCAAGCGACTGGTCCTCCAAAAAAGCAAAAAAACAAAAAATTGCACTAAGAAAAAATTTACGGTCATTTTAATACACTACAGGTACAGTAGAGAGCGCCCTCTAGCGGCTACAGTAAAACTATGCCCAAGGTTCGTTTTGTCGTACCAAAAAGCCCTTGTATACCAATTTTCACTGTTATACATCAAATATTGTTCGAAATATTTAAAAAAAACTATTTTAGAAAGTAAATTTAAACACCCTGTATTTCGGAAGCCACGCATTTTTCGACCCATGTTTATATAGACTTTATGCATTAATTTTAAAAGTTCTATCGAATCTTAAAGTTATGCAACAATAAACTGAAACACCCTGTATAGATATCCTGAAAAGCTTTTTATCTACAAGCGCTCGCTCAGAAATATGACATGCTTACTAAAATCACTCAGTGTTTGTTGCATTTCGTCGTGTCGGGTACCGTTCTGCTAAAATACCAGAGCTATTTATTTATCTCATCTTATTCTATTACTTCTAGGCTATCAAATTGTTTTGATTGATGAGGTGTAATAAATCTGTTGAAACAACTGTTATCCATTCTAGTACAATAAATAAATTAATGTAAATGCAGGGAACAAAGATGAGAATATAAAATTGAATATCACAATCGCGTTTATATCTATATCTACAACGACGTATTAACGGTGATTAAAATTAAAATGTAGTCTGTAAAAGCGGCCGGCAACATATTCACACATCCCGCGGTTGTCTGCGCAAACAAATACTGTGTATTTTTATATGTTTTAATAACGCATTATTGCACGCCACCACGTTTTTGTATATCAAACCAGATTAACTATTCATTCGTAGTAATTAATATATATGAGGTTTTTGTTGATCAATAATATAATTTCGAAAACTTTCAGGTCATCATTTTTCGCAAATTATCGCGGACGAAATAATACAATATGTGTATGAACCTAAATGAACTCAAAACAGAACAAATAAAATCTAGTCCAGGTTGTTAATAACAATTATTAATTGTTAAATAGGACGGATAGTCGTGCCGGACATACAGAACTGGCCGATACGACCGCTCCTTTGTCCCTAGAGTATCGAGATTGTGGAACGGTCTACCTTGGGGGGCTTGTTCCAGTTCTACTAACCATAGGCAGTTGAAAAATCGGATTAACATAGTCTTTGTCCCTCATAGCAGCCAGGTGTCAGGTGTCCTGGTATTCAGGCTTCTGCATGCGCGGCGGCTTCAATATGAAAAAAAAACTTAAGATGATTAAACATACAATTTCCTTCTTGCATTATAAGTTTTTGCATTTTACCTGTCCAATGAAGAAATATATATTCGAACTTAAGATTCAGCATATATTCATAGGTTGTCTTATCTAGGAAGACTTATAGACATCAGAAACGTGAGTAAAGTTCCTTGTTCAGCTTATCTGATTCTTATTATTGGCCAAGAAAAATGCAATGAATCATTTAAACTAGCAGTAACTACTACCAGCTCTTCCGTACATCTAAGAACTATAGGTATAATTCATAGATACAAAAATGCTACTACAAATTTTATGAATAAATTGATAAAAATACGTTAATGTGAATGAACTGTGACATATATACTCGTATATATATACTTTGAAGTTGAGTCATTAATTTTCAGATAATGATTGTAGAAGGAAGATAAACCAAAATATGTGTGTAAAAATAAAAAAAAATGTTTACCTTGTTTTATAAAGTATCCTTCCGACAAGTATTTCAGTGCGGACCTGTATTTGATCGTGAGGTCCCCTGTGAGGTCTTAAGTCACCTGATTCACGAGCCCGTTGTACTACATTAACAAAGGCACGAGGGGTTGGTTGCACTCGATTGGGAAACCGATCCGCATAAACATGTGCCATTCTTTATTTCGCTTGAGCCACGCAACAGACACCACTATTCACTCACGCGTTACCGACTGACACTGACTGTATACAACTGAATAAAATAATTGTAAAAACATCGTTCCAAATTCTTTCGCTTTTTTGTTTCCGATGCGATGAACCGATAAGGCGGATTATATCCAAACACGAGCACATAATATTATTATTGAGACAGGGCGGTACTCAAACTTCCAGAGGGCTATAACTTTGTTACTTTAATTTTACCAGAAAAATGGTAAAGGAAAAAAACATTTCTTTTGATCAGATCTATTCACTGTTAAAACAAATGACTCAACTTCGAAGTCACCCTGTATATATATATATATATATATCTTTGCATTTCTTAATCGTCAATGAAATAAAACTCTGGCAAAACGATAACAATTTGTCGTAAATAACGTTATCTAAACAAAAAAGTACATGCCATGTTTCAAAAATATTAATAATGAATTATGCAATCCAGTATTCTTTGTATATATGCTATTTTTATTATTTTTTTTGAACTCTGAATTGAAAGACATCATTATTTAGGCATTTTTTATTCACGCTATAATCCGTCAAAGGTGATATACAGGCTATATTGCCGTACTTTTTTAAATTTTGAGAATACATCTCTTTTATGATTGATTAAAATTACAAAATATATCATTGATGTTATTATTTAACAAAAATAGTTATTTTTTTACTTTGTCAAATATTTCATATTAATTTTATTTCCTAATCATAAAAGCAGTAGGTAAATCAATTTGTCACAATAAAAAAAGCAGTTGTTTTCAAACTACACTGCTTTTATTCTCTTTATGATACAAGTGTTGCTTTTTTACCCTTTATAACCTGTTTACTTATTTAGTTTTTTATTTAATAATTATGTTATTTATGAATACGTATTTACGTTATCAACAATTACTTTTGCCTTAAAGAATAATTTTGAAAAATATTCTTCGTTCAACT